ATTGTCTATACTAGGTTTCAAAGACCACCTCACATTCCAATTTAACTCATTATGATAATTAGGAGTAAAAAGCTTTGTAAAGATAATTTCTATATGACAGCTATTACGGTTTAAGACTGTATATTACTATCTGTCCATCATTGAAATCTTTCCAAAAAAGAAAACCATAATTAAGTAACAAATGTGTTAAAAGTGTGACCAATATGTTTATCTTGGTGAATTGTCATAGATGGAGCAAGATAAAGTTAAGTTTTGGTGAGCATGGTGATATAAATCATCAATCAATAATTTGTTTGGTGGATCGCATAGTTTAATTAACTATAAAAAAACTAATTCCAATTTACAATACTAAAAAGGAAGACTTATCCTATATATGCCTGATATATTGATAACAAAGCAATTCATCACTGTCAAATGACCAATCAAATCAATACTAGTAGACAATAATTAAAAAAAACAATTTCCACTCTATTTAATTCCATATGATGCAATGTGATTTAACAATAAGTTGAAGAATTTGAAGGATTAAGTTCTTCTACTTCAAAAAAAACTTTGCTTAATTATAAGCAATAAATTGCCCCTATACCCTTTGACATAGGATATTGCAGGCTATGAAAGGTCATTACCGTCCTATATATGCATTTTCTTATAGAATATAATCGCTTGTGTGGTTCTTGTCAAGTATTTGAAAAATTGGTTGGATCAGAGACCCAATCAATTTAGAAGATGACAGTACAAAATTAATAACTTCTTGCAACCACCTGAACAGCATGCTGCATTACCTCATAACCCTTTTTGACATAACTAAATATTCTTTGATTCCTACATCGGCTTGCAGCTCTACATATTTCAATTGACTTGGTCTCTCTCATGTTAGCAATTTGTCACAGTCCTAACAAATAACAAATCCAACCTGTTACTAGGTTTACAAGTTCATTCTCATGTTAATAATACTTAATACACCGAAAAACTAGACAGAGCCCCGCATCATATTATTATAGACAATTCAATCGATCGAAAGAATGAAAACACATCCTAATAGCATTCACCAAACCATAGTTAGTCACAAATCGTTATCGATAATGACAAACCAACATGGGATAAGAATCATAATACATCCTTAAGAGGTTAGAACCTGTATTAGGTGGATGTACCACATAAAACCTCAAAGTAAGTCAATAATCAGCCTCACATAGAAAGGAAAACAAACCAAGCAAAATCTCAGTAAAAGGTTAAAAGAGGCAAAGTAGGGAGGGAAGTGAGAAAGTTGTGGCAGATGTGAGACGTCTATCCAATTGCTGGTAGAGATCTTTCAAATTATTTTGATTCCGTCCATCTGCCCCTTTTGGCTTCTAACTCTCATTTTCCCGCTCTCGTTTCCTTTGTTCAAACAGTGGAGTACTGGATGAGTATGTTGATGCTGTGAAAAGGCTAGCATGTGAGATCCTGGATATGTTAGGTGAAGGGCTTGGGGTTAAAGACAAGTGGGCGTTTAGCAGGCTTTTGAGAGACAAGGACAGCGACTCTCTGATCAGAATGAACCACTATCCTCCTTACCACAACACTGCCGGCAGCAAAGATGGTAAGGGCAGCAACAACTGTAGGATAGGATTTGGAGAACATTCAGACCCTCAGATCATAAGCGTCCTCCGATCAAATGATGTCGAGGGACTTCAGATACTGTCATCATCGACTAATGGCGATGTGTGGGTCCCGGTGGTGCCTGACCCCTCGGCGTTCTTTGTAAATGTCGGCGACACACTTGAGGTGGGTTTTACTGGCGCTCATTCTGGTGCTTCTGAAAACTATGAACCAACTCTCAAAAGTTGTTCGGTCTTTTTACTGGGTGCCAACTGTCTGTGTGTGTGTGCGCGCGCGCGTGCACGTGCACGTTTGAGAATCGTTAGTGTCATGACTTCAAATTTTAAAAGAGGAAAAGATGTGTAATATAGTTAAACTGTTCAGTAGGAAAGACCCATATAAAGGAGACAGACTAGGCTAATCTACTTTCGAACCAAATTGACTCAAAAAGTATTACCTTGTTTGAGTCACTGAGTCCAAGCATTCTAACCATATAACCACGTAACTGGTTATTCAAAGTGGTTCTGAATCCAACCTCATGTCTTTTTGTGAATCAAACTCACACATGAACCCGAAGTCCGAAGAATACTTTGAAAGTTTCCACATAACATGTGAGCAACCAATCTTTAGGATCCATTAAATTACATCTATCAAGTTGCTCACTATTTCCTTTAGTTTGAAGTATGTGAAGTATGCTAACCAGTTAGTATTCTACGCAATGCAGGCTTTGACAAATGGGAGGTTTATTAGTGTGAGACATAGAGCTATGGCAAACTCCTATACCTCAAGATATTCGATGATTTACTTCGGTGCACCTCCTCTCCATGAATGGATCTCTCCCCTCCCTGAAATGATAACACCCTCAACTCCTCGACGGTACAAATCCTTCACTTGGGCTGAATACAAGAAGATAATGTACTCGCTTAGACTTAGCCACAATCGACTCAGTCTCTTTCAAATGGACGATGATGAAGAGAGAACTGATATGATATCATGGCTTTGAGAGACGTGTGTTTGATTGACCACCTCTAAGCCTATAATGTTCCAATGAAAGGCAGATGGGGTGCACTTCAAGCTGTCCCCAAGTTTTGCTAATGGCTATTGAATGGAACTGAGGAGGGCGATTACACGTCGAATGCAGTGTAAGTAGGTGTGTTTTTAACTTATAATGTAGGGGGAAGGGAGATGTGTGTGTAGAAGAAAAGTTATTTGTAATATATATGCGCTAATGTGTGGATTTTGATCAGGTTGGGATATGTTCTTTTCCTTTCATCTTATAGGTTCAGGTACTTGGGAGTATTTGTTGCTTCAGCAACAATACATTACAAGTTAATCCTAGTAACGTATAGACCTCAAAGTGACTCGATCATGACTTATCTGTAACCATGTTTATTCTCTCCAACAAACAAGAGGCTCTAATGTTTCTTGCAAGGTCGTTTCACAGCATAGGCCATCCACGCAAGAAATAACATCCAGCTTCATATCCACAGTACAATATCACAGCATGAGACTTGCTACTCCAAGAATTTATAGAAAACCATAGTCATAATATCAGACATGAACAAAATAAACACCATCCTACTTCATATCCGATATTACTTTCATATATCTATCTCCATATAAGATCAGAATCCAACAATGACATTATGAATCAAGTGTGTGTTTGAATCCTTTAATTTACATACATACAACAATGTATCATATAGACTACAGACTTAAACCCAAACCCAGTACAAACGTTAGCAGTAACGCGAATCATGGGCCGTGTCAAAAAAACATACAGCCCAAAACCTACACGATGGAGCCTTCTAATGTTCCCAATCTCTAAGTTAGCCACCACATAGAGCCCAACTAAAATAATGAGCATCTATTGTGGGCTAGAAATAGGTTAAATAATGAAATCTATTCATAAACCAATCTCCGGGTTTAGGTTTTATTCTTCCTTCCTCTGTACAGTATGAATGTATAAGAATTACTAGTAGTATACTTAGACAAGGACTTGGGACTTGGCAGCAGAGCGAGAGCACTTTTTTCGGGCAGACTTGTTTCGGCTACAAGCACAGCCTTCTAGAAGCTCGAGGTCTTCATCACAAGTGAGAATAGAGGCCAATTCAGGATTCTCAAGGAGCATTTTAGAGGTGAGGTATCCAGCAATAGTCCAAGTTTGATAGAGACGGGATTGTTTACCGATGAATCTTCCAGTTTTCGTGTCATAGTATTCCGGCCATTTGTCATTAGAGAGTCTCTTCTCAGCCACCTCTATGGCTTTTTGAGCAAGCTCAGGCCTTCCCATTTTGATGCAGGCTAATGTGAACTAGAGATGCACATTGGAGAGGATTATGTTAGCAGGAATTTACCTGCCATAGGAGAGTAGGCCAAGATCCGCCATTATGGTATGACCAAGGACTGCAAAAGATAAGTTTATGTCAAATGGAGTTCCTCAAACGGAGTGAACGAAGAATCAGTGTATGTTTTACATGAAAGAGTCATCTACCTTGACACAAACTGTCTATATTTGGTTTCTGCATCAACCGAGACTTATCATTTCAAAATGTATCCTATAAACTAGAACTCTAAACAGAAGGTGAAGGACTGACCTAATGATACAGTCATCACTCTCAGTTAAACAGGGGAAAGATATTGGGAAAGATAAATGAGATAAATGACAAGAACAAGAGGCTAGATGGTTGAAAAATGACCATGACAATTTAGCACGATACGGTTCATTTTGTCCAACGAGCAATTCAATTTTTCCAATAACCCTAGATCAGCTAACTGACACTCAAAATCATAGATATAGTTTATTCTGTCTTCAAGCAGGGTGACATATTTGTGTTTCATTGGAGCAGTACACATGTAGATCTGCTAGGATCAATTTGCTGTCAATTTAAACTTTAAAGAATCTCCGTGCTTTGACCTTAGTAGAATAAACAAACATGCTATGTTCCAGTGGTTACACTTAAATATTGCTTTTCTGTTCTAAAGTCAAGCCTTTGTTTAGTGTTTACATAGTGCGTGCTGACTGTTGCTTAGTGACAAGCATTTGAAGCTTCAATTTCAATATGTGTCCAGGGTAATTGAATCATTATTCAAAGGTTATGCTGTTGATGATAAGGTATTAGAGCATTAGGCTAAGGTAACAAGGAATTTCTTGACACACAAAATTTAAGTAGAATATTAGGGAACTAAAAGTACAAGTGTTAATGAAAACTTACGTATTCTTGGGATCGCTGCCAGTGATTATCCTCCATTCCTCGTACTCTAAAGCTGGGTAGCAAATCTTGAGAGGCATATTGCCCACAAGATCATCCCACTTCTCCTCAATAAGATTTAGGATACCCTCAGCTTGTTTTGGGGTGGTCAAAGATGAAACAATGGCCCAAAGATTCCCTAGCGAGAAGAACCTGAAATCCATGTGAGCAGGCTGAAGATTACCAATGAGATAACCTCCTTGTTCAGGCATCCAGTCTACTAGCCACGAAGGAATTTGTTCAGGATAAATGTTGAACTTGTTAGTAGCATCATGAGAGTATTCTTCAGTTTTATAGCGGTATATTTCATTGATTTTTCTCATATCCACCCAATAATACTCCCTCACGTGGAAAGATAGTGCACTCAGCCTGTTATTAATAGCACGTATCAGGTTCTTCGATCCATCATTGACAGTGATCATCTCACGGGAACACCTCAGAGCTGAGTAGAATAAGGCCTGTGGAATAGAACTCATCAAACTCTCGACACTATCTTACTAGTTACTGCTAATAATACTAATCACAGAACTGGAAGTCTGGAACATAAGTAAACAGTTTGACACCTGCCACAGGCATGATCATCATGTGCTAATAATAACCAGTCTGCAATAACTACAATAAGATTTGTACATGTAATACTCAAAAAACCATATAAGGGATGCATGAGGGGGGTATGGGAAAGGGATGAGGTTGTCGAGGTGGTATAGGGGGTGACTGATGGAATTTATCTCACACAGAGAATAATATAATAACTCATATAGAGGTAAATTTGCATCCATTTAAGTGTTGGAGTTACATTTACTTGATACCCATGTGGCTTTCACACGGTCGTGCATCTTATCAGGTATTAAACATTTAACACCGATCATATGATCATTTTCTAACTGTGATGTACACTCAAATTGATCCCATGTAGGCACCATTCTGTTGTTGAGGCATGAATAAGAAATTAAACAGGAGGCATTGAACGAAATCTAAGTGCATGCAGAATGGTATAATGTGACTAAGTTAAAGCCAATCTGGAAATTTTTTAAAACTATTATCTTCTCATTATTGCAAGAGATACACCATCATTACTCAACCTTACTTGAATCTCAAGAGGATGCCCATGGATGCCCATCCTGCGGTCTATCATGCAAGAGCCATCAGTCACTAGCAAAGTAGGGAACATATCAAACCCATCTGATAAACATAAATTCAAGATGAGCCTGATTCCCGTTTGTACATCTACTCTCTCTTGTAATGCATAATCCCCAGTAATCTTCCCATAAGCTCTCAGCAATATGATCCACCATAATCCTGCCAAAGTAGAATGTTTCTCATGCTGATTAACTACATAGTTCTTGAAGCAATAACAATCTGATAAATCTCACATACAAATGCATTTATTATGACTCACCAGAATCAACTGGGGCAACTCGTCCAATGGCCGATTCACCAAAATCAGGATCCAGGACCTCCTCAGATGATCCATTGCTTCCATCCAAAGTTGCATTTCTGACCTTAAAACTAGCAGGCATCAATCCTTGTCCTGGGCTGTAACAATCTACAGTCTTTTCCCAGCTCTGCAAATTACAAAAAGGCGAAGGCTTTAGCATTGTGAAATAGCACGTTTAAGATTAACTCACAAAGGTCGTAAATGGAAGAATACAGATGTTGAGTTCATGACAACACAGTTTACAACCTGATATTTTAAGTGTGGCAATACTATAAAATCTGTCGGCAACCTTTTTTTTGGGGCTGCTATAAAAGCTTACAGGGTCAATATCTGTTAATGTTTCCATAGAATCGTCTGGATGGATAAAGATTTCTAACATCAGTGCTTTCAGTTGATCATTAATGCATTTTACAACCTTACCTCCAGGAGGGAGAGGTGGGGAATAAGCTTACTACCAAAGAACGACAAGCATGGAGGCAGCAAACTAAAGTGGGCTGCAAATCAACAACCAAGACCAAGGGCTTTCTTCTAACTAAGAAGAGTCACATCAAATAAATGCTTTCTAAATAGATCTGATCACATACAGTACATGAGTGAAATTTTAATGACAGTGACCTAATCATTTGAAGAGGCAAAGATGCCATATTATAATGCCACTATTTGATAACATGCAATAGCTCTTTATTAAGGTATCCAATAGATAGCGGCTAATAATACAATGATATACTTTGTTAGAACTTAGATATGTATAAGTCACAAAAGATGCAATTCAAATCTTATATAACAAAACTGATAAGTTCAGTGTAAAAATAGCTCAAACAATTATAAGAATAATATTCAGCAAATGATAGATCTGATTTTCAAAATTGCAAAACAGTATGACGCCAAAGAAGGCAGCTTTTAATTATCATAGTTTGATAAAATCAAATGTGATCTCAGTTCATTATGACAATTTCCTGAGGGAAAAGAATCACTGGCCAGAGGCTCTAAATTAATTATTGAGGTATGTACCAAGGTGAAACTATGCAACTATGTATTTCAAATTACAACCTAACAGCCAAATAATTGGGAATATTCAAATTATTGTAGTAGGAGGTAAAACCTCAAAGCTCAAACAAACTTGCAACAAAACTGTCTCTTCCAATTTCATATTGAAAAAATCCGAAAATGGCGGAATATAAGCTGATTGCTAACCAGAAATTACAAAATTGTGTCCAGCTACCGATATCTTCCGATTAAAAGAATGACTCTTTTTTAATTCCCAATTGCGGCGGTTTTATGCATTCACCAATAGTGACAATTCTGCACGAAAACATTACACCTTCATCCTTTCCAAATTCTATCTCCGGGACAATTCCACGTTAACTATCCAAAACAAAACCCCTAACGCAAAATCAAACGTTCACCTAATCCCCACAATTCATTCACAAAAAAAATTCAACTTTCCATAAAAAGTAAATTTTTACCTTATAAATTCTACTCTTGTTTGCATTAAAATGTTGAGACTGATTGCCAACCTAATAAATTTTAAATTTAGGCCAACCTACAAAATTTATCACTTTCATTATTAGTTTATTCGCCACTGCCACAATTATTATATGCAGCAAGTTCTATAATCGGAAATAAGTGCATCTTTCCCAATTCTTACCAAAATCAAATTTTCGCCCAAATCCTCAAATTAATCCGGAAAAATAACAACTTTCCCCCAAAAAACTAAAAATTACCTGCAATTGCAAAGTATGCAACAAGAAATTCTTCACGATCTCGCTCTCCCCCTTCAACAAAAAATGCCAGCGCCGACGCGCACGAAATTCCCTGATAAACACCTGATCGTAGTTCAACGGGCCCCCGCCGTCGCGCGATCGTCTGCCGCCAGCGTCCCACCCCAAGGGCTCCCGCAGTAATTCACCACCGCCTTCCTCAAACACCCCACGCCTCCCTCTCCATCTCCGTCTCCTCCGCCACGTCAGCCCTAGTCTCCTCCGCCACGTCAGCCCTAGCGTCCTCCCTCCTCGATCCATCGATCTCTTCTCTTGATCTTCTCCACGATCAGGGCTTGACGCGAGGTTCTTGATGTAGATCGGGTCGAAGGCCGATCCTGGCGCGCCGGAATCTGGTCCGCCGACGTGGACATGACGGCGGCAAGTATCAGCGGGCGCGGCGGCGCGCCATGGTGGGGCATTCGGGAAGGAACTTAGGGCCTCTGGCGTGGTTGGGGCATTTCGGGAAGGAGTGGAAACTCCTGCGGGGGCATTTTGGGAAGAGGGAGAGGAGACGGCAGCAGGGCTTCACGGTCGCGGTGAGTCCCATCGGAGCGGTTGCATTCATATGAAAAAAAAAATTACAGGGGGTTATCTGCAAAGAAATGTTAGATTTTGTGTGTGTACTGTAAATAAATTTTGTCGGAAGAAGGGCACGAGAGAAAACTGCGGAGTGGTCTTGGGCGTTGATTGATTTTTTTTGGAAGAAGTGAAAGGGAGGTGCCGGAATCGATCTGTTAATTTTATAGCGCGGCGAGGAGGAAGTCGAAGCCAACAGGAGAACGGCCGCCATTAATTTTTTTTTATTTTTTATTTTATTTAATTTATAAAATATTTATGGATGTCAGAAGGTGTATGATGGAAATTACATAATTACCCTCCTTGACAACTAATAAGCTGGTTCTCCATTATAGGATTATCTTGATTTTGATTTATTATTAGGAATAAATTGATGAGTAGTAGAAGAAATCTTGTTTATGTCATATTATAAAGGATATTTATGAGTGTTGAAAGTAGTCATCTCATGGTGACTTGGACATTCTAAGATAGTTAAACATAAAGTTTCAGACATATAATATATTTGAATATTAAAACTTAGGTTGTTAAATAGAGATCGGTAATATAATTTTTTAGAAGTGTCTCCTTCTCATATCTGAAACCATTATTTCTATTTCTTTTATGAATTTTATTATTTAAAAAGGCTTCTACGAGGTTTATATCACATGACTTCGATCGTGCTTTATATTGATGTTAGCTACGTAATACAATCCTTTTTTTTAATAAATAGCTGTGACTATCTATATTACCAAAACATTTGCGATAAGTTTTTGCGCTTTTAAACTTTTTTGAAAGTTGGTTGCAAGATCTCTGTAAATTTTCAGTAAATAATCGGCATCAATCAAATAATAGTGGATAATTAAATGATACAGCTAAAACTTAGGGGTATTATTGGCAAAACAAGAAATATTGGATGGTCATTGGTCATTGGTCATTGCATCGTTAGAAATATCAATATCCAACTGCGCGCAGAGAGCCAATCACGTGGCAGCACCGACCGCGGTGGGATCCGAATGCCTGTCGCACGTGACTAAAGGACGATTTCAAAATATCGCGATATTCATTGAACCTTATCATCTCACACAACAACGGTAAGATCTTTTATTTCAATTTGTCGGTGGATTATATATGAATATAATAACTTAGTCTTAACTTAAGCGTACTTAGCTTATTATGAGCTTAGTTCTTAATTGCTTCTAACTAAATTATATATTATAATTAGATTGTTTTTAGTCATCGTCCTTCATTTAACTGTACTCTTATTATCTATTCTAATTGGGGTATTTTAATCAATTCTTATAATTAATTCTATTATTATAGTTTAATAAGAGTAACATTTAATTTCTTAAGGAATGGAATTGTTTTTCTTAATCATACTTCTCAGTGTACCTCGATGATCACTTTCACTTCTACGCTTTCGTGCTTAGCAAATTTGTGTTTTATTTGTCCGGATTTTGTACAATTTTATTGGGTGTAAATATCAAGAAACCCACCTTAACTTTGGAAGATTATTTAAAAATCTCTTTTAACTTTTAAAATATATAAAAACTCTCTTTTAACTTTCAGATTTTATTAGAAACGTCTTCTTTAACGTTAAAATTTTATCTAAAACCCCTAGAGCTTTCTGATAACCCCTAAAATTAAAGGGGGTATTCTAAAATTTTGAAAGTTAAAGAGGAGTTTTCTAATAATCATCCAAAGTTAAAGGGGGTTCTATGATATTTAGCCGTATTATTGGTGTTATAATAGTTGTATGTGATATATTTTTTTAAGAACTATTATGTAATATTTTTTTATAATTTAATTAGATACACATCCTATGATTACAACCATGAACCGAGCTTGTTCATGCATTTCTACGGGAAACGAGATATCTAAATGTCGCGATATGATAAAAGACATCATATCTCGGGACCACAAAGCAAAAGATCGGATAAGAGCTTGTCTGGTGCTGACATGGCAGAGCTTTTTGATGATTTTTCTAACGTGCTTTTTTTTTATTTTTTGTGGGTACACGCCTCTTTTGGCTTCTTGCTCACGATAAACCATTTTATCAACTAATTTTCTATTTTTGTAAATTAGAAATATTTATGGCCACCAACCCCTTGATGAAACGTGTTGGGATTTTATATAAACAGAAGGGGGAGTAAACTTGCACTTTTCATTGTTTCAAAGAGGGGGGAAATCTTCGAAAATGATACGAAGGAAGGGAGAAAAAAAAGTCGCATATGTTTCGAATGGTCTGTTTAGCAAAATCGACTCGACCTCTTTTTGGCCTGTTGGTCAAAAAAAAAAAAATCTATTTTGCTAAATATTTAGCAAAACGGTCTGTTTTGCTAAATATTTAGCAAAATAGGTCGCAAAATAGGTCTATTTTGCAAATTTTTTTTTCTTATGTGCATTCGCGTCTCTTTCGTTTCGTATCGCATTATCCATAATAAACCCTTTTTTTTTGTGTGTGTGTGTGGAATTTTTCAAATATTGTGGTCACAAATCCCGGTGAAACGTGCGCCATAGTCATAAAAATGGGAAATGGGTGTCAATTTGCACTTTTCTTGACCTTTTTGGTTTGGAGATATTTGCTCGAAAGCAAAGGGGGGCCGCCTTCCAATTTCACGGTCATTGTCAAGTTTCGTTCAAGTTTTCGTTGGTTTGGGGTTGTTTTTTTTATTGGACTGGCTCAACGTTAAGCATTGTGGGGGTGGGCTTCTATAAAATGCGCTCTTCATTAATCTGTAGAGCATCATGTTGTGGATTAATGATGATTTGTAAATGAACAAAAGAGGGTGGAAGGCGTTGAAGTTTGCTCGGGGGGAAAAATAGAAACGGAATTTGTTCTTGATTCTGAAACATTGGCTCTTCCCGTGTGAAACGTGGCTACCTTCACCCCATGTTGTTCGGGATTCAGATTCTCTCCGCTACGAAAAAGTTTTGGTATTGGAGAGAGCGCTATTTCATCGTTCGCTAGGTAAATCAACAGTTATTTTAATGGCGTTCTTTTGAGTGTTAACTAACGATGAGTGCTATTATGAATGAACCATAATCATTCACTAGATAAATTAAAAGTAGTACTCTCTCAACTATAGTCTAGTAGTGCAAATGATCTGAATCATATTGTTTTTGTATCCGATTCCAAATAAGAAGTAAACAGCAAGGGGACACATTGTTCCCTGAAATATGATTAAAAATGGGTAAGCAAGCAAGGCAGGCAACGAGCACCAGTGGTCTAGTGGTAGAATAGTACCCTGCCACGGTACAGACCCGGGTTCGATTCCCGGCTGGTGCATTATTTTTTAATCATTTATTTTTTTTTCATGCAAAATAATTGTATTTTTGGGTTCTATTTTATTATCACTTGGAGCGTAGCAACGCGTTGAGATGGCCGAGTTGGTCTAAGGCGCCAGATTAAGGTTCTGGTCCGAAAGGGCGTGGGTTCAAATCCCACTCTCAACATACATTTCTTATATGTTTACTTTTAAATTTTTATCCTTTTCCAATCTTTTTTGCATGGTAATGATTTTGTCCTTTTTCAATATTATTGGATGCCTATATGCAATTATGCACGCCATTTCCATGCAGCAAAAAAAAGCAACTATTATGATACAAAGTTTAAAGCTGATCAATGATCTAAGCATAAAATTTACACTCCCTGTTTGAAAATAATCAACTGATCAAGATGTTCAAATATTCCAACTCAAAAAAAGCTCGACAACAATTCGAACAAAGATGATGGATCGCCTAAATTTTTAACAGAAAGAAGTTGGACCGAGAAAAATGATGGTAGGAACCTCATCAATTAACCGATTCAAGCACTCTGAAAGAGTCCATAATCCGTCTCAGCTCCTTTTCCTCCTCCAAGAAAACATCCTCAGGTGTTTGCAACCTCAACTCATACAGTCGGTTGTTTCCAACACCGAGAACGGATAGATATCGCCTGTCCCACTCAAGACGAGGAATTCTGTCCTGCGGCATGACAGCCAGCTCGTTGTTATTTGCGTATGACTTAATATTCACCTGTAATGATGTACCAAAGGTTAGCTAAAACTCGTGGTGATTTGAGAAAAGTTAGATGCTCGTAATCGTAAGATACTAGCGTAAGATTTTGGTCAATGGTTCCTTTTTATTGATTAAAGTTAGTATCACGGTTAATAGTTCGCGGTGAAGTCCTTTAATGAAATTGTTCATTGATTCAAATGGTGAAAAAGGTTCGCGAAAACTGCATGGCCAAGTAGAGGCCTATCATGAGCCAATGAGTGTCCTACAAAAGGAATTTATGATGAACTGAACCAATGAGGGTTCCACAAAAGGAATTTTATGATGAACTAAGTCCAAAGTAGACTAAGTAGTAACTTGAGCAGAGTGTTGAAGGCATTGGGAACTAAGTACGAAACTATGGCCAAAAGGTTCTGGAAAAACTTCCTAAAGAAACTATATTACAGCTTATAATTCTCTGTCTTATAAAATCAAACAATTATGAGGATTCAAATTTTCATCATTACAAGAAGTAGTGCATTTCTTGAATGCCTTCACTTCTGCATGGATTTATAGGATTTTCTAATTTTGATGGTATTTGTTCTAACCTTGATTTTCTTCGACATAAATCCTCATTCCTAAATTCCGCATATGTGATGGAGATTATAGTGTATTTATTCAAAGAAAATGCTGATGCTTTATTCTGATTTAGGAATATAACTAGGGAATAGGGTAAGGATACAGATACCAAGCCCCAGATCACAGAAATGAGAAATCGTAGTTTGGAGGAGCTAGAGATTTATAGAAGCAAAATGGAAGTAAGCCACCAGTCCAATAGAGTCTATGGTTTACATAGATAGGGATTTAATATTTTCTTAAATTTACGGTTTGTTATTTTTGCCCCTATTTTTGAATTACTCTTCACCATTAGCTGACATCTGAGCTGAGGTGAATTCATCACAAGCTCCATGGTATAAAGACGTCAAGTTGCTTTCAGTTTTAGGAAATTTCTAACAGAATATGAAGAAAGAAACAACATGCTCATGTATAGAGTTCAACTGAAACAATGTTGAAATGCCCTCAGAAAACATTGGGAACAAAGAGGGGGTAAAAAGGCTACTTTATAGTGTTGTACCTCAACTTGATAGTAGAGCTTCCCATCATCAGCGACCCTTGATGACGAAGTTAGAATGTTAGACTCACGGCGAACTCCAAGTCTCGTAGACATGAACTCAGTCAAATATTGTTTGAGCACCTTCTCTGCAGCTGCTTGTGGAGGCCCCAGATCTTCCACGCTTTTAAATCTAGAGGATGACGGAGAAGATAACTCTACTGATATGTTCTCATCAAGGACAAAAGGATCCCTGAAAAATATATCTGCACCAGCTCCTTTAACTTGGATCCAGTTCTTTGGATACAAAAAGGAGTAGCCATCGAAAATATCTATATGCTCCCTAAATCCAACTGAGAGTTCAGCTAAGACAGCTTCATGAGAACTCAGCTGCGAAAAGATAAAGCTTGAAACCAGAGATGCAATGATGTTCCTCCTGGGAACTTCAAAAAATATATGTCTGGTCATCAATAGATAGTATATTAATAAATTCTGATGGTAGAAGGAAAATGGCAATGGTCTACAGAAGACAAATCAAAATTGGATATTAAGTTTATATAACGCATAGCTCGAATTATAAAGCTAATAATTATAATATCACAGAAAATCCTTCAGCCTCGTACTCATGCCATGGGAGCAATCAACTGAGAAAAGCATTTCCAAATTTTTGGGGCAATGTCAACTGCAAAAATTAAAGAAGCGATAATCAGAAGGAAAGCAAGAAAATATGTGCATAATCATCTGACTTATTTCTTTAACTTTTTTCCACAAGGTATTCTTTTGATTCTCCTTCAAGGAAACTAGATGTGCTTTTGGTAGGCAATAACTCGTAGGTAGTGAGTCAAATCAGAAACACGTCTCTTTTCCTTCTTCCCCTTTTTCTTTCTTGAGGAATACAACGGCCGTGATGAAGGACAAGAAAAGGATGAAATGTCTTTTTCCCCTCAACGTTTTGCTCTTGTCCTTGTATCTTTCATGTTAAAGTTGTTTATTCAATCACAACTAATAAGTTTCATTTGTTATTAGCAAAAGAAGAAGGCATGATATGAACTACCATGTATACAAGTGGCATATATAAATAAATTGCCACTTATCTAAAAGAAAAATCATGTGTTTCTGACAGTATTCAGCTGCCAATTTTATCTGACAAAAGAATTCATTTTTGTAACTTATTTCCTTCTCCTTGACCTCGTCAGGCTTGAACACCATCCTGCGATTCAACGCATGCTTGAGTAATAATAGTTAGCACATCTGGGTGACACGCTTTATATCTTTCCACCTTCTTTCTTTCCCGCAGCGTCACCTGCGAACAAGGGGAACTTAGGACAATTGGTATCACCGAATTTGGGCCAGGTGGGCCGAAGTGACCAAGCTTCATGAGCAAACCATCGCTTGTACTAATCTCACCACCAGTTCCCTCGGCATGGAAACTCCCTTAACAGAACACGACGATACCAATACTTAGAGCATCTCCAAGGGATCCCTTGGATGTCCCTTAATCTAGGGGGAACTTTAAGGGAGGAGTTGGTTCTTCTCCAATGGTTCCCCCTTAAAACTCCTCTACCCCTTAATTAATTATATTTAGTTTTTTAATTTTATAGATTAGGATTTAATTAAATATGTGGTTTATTTATAAATGAATAAATAATTAAATATTAATAACTAAAAATGATTAATTAATTAATTTAAATTAAGAAATTACCTTATATAATCATTAAATTAATTATTCATATTAAAATTCATCTCCCTTATATCTCCCTTAATTTAGCTAAGGGGCCGGATTTTTCCGGCCCCTTGGAGATGCTCTTAGTATCTAAATGATGCTTCCACGTTCATCCCACAAATCGAAAATTTCAGACGAACGATTATATTATCGAAATAGCACCAAACTGATATTAGAATGCCCCCATAGTACAATCATCGGGTTTCAACACTGCACGACTAACCCTATTTAAACCCTTTACCCATAACGCAACAAATGCATACCAAGCAGAACCTTCCAAGTTTCACAAATTCAATACAATTTGACAATCGGCCCAATCGCAATTCCTCGAGCAGACATCTAGAGAAAACCCTAGAGAGCGTGCACGTTGTACAAGTAGGGGTGCTCAGTTACAGCCCAAGATCGATCCTTTCATAGGTAAATCTCGCTAACGCGGGCTAAATTTGATGGGTCGGAATGCGATTCAAGCTTACATAAGCAAAATCAATCGAAACGGTCGCCAAGAACCCGAGAAACTGCTGCGAAACTCATTGAGCGAGATTGAAAAGAGAGAGAGAGAGAGAGAGAGAGAGAGTACCTGCGGGTTTGGGCGTCAATGGCTTAATTTGAGGGGCGCCTGAGGCTGAGATCGGAGCCCTGGATGGGGGCCTAGGGTTAGGGACGGGATGGATCCGATGGCGGCAACGGAGGCCATGAGAGAGCGCCAAAAATAGATTCGGTGAACGGATAGAAAGCTCAGAGAGAGGAAACAAATCGTCAATAGATGCGAAGCGGGTTATGGTTTGTGAAGTTCAACCCGACCCGACTCGTTATTCAGGCGAGAAACTAACGGGTTCGGATCTGGAAAACCACATCCGATAATTTATTTATTTAAAAAAATATTTTAAAAAAGAATTCCTCTTTTATTTTTGGGAAAATTGTGTCAGGATCTCAGAATGAATTAGCCTATGTGACCAGCGTCTCTGTATTTTAGACCTTGTGTTTTAGGTTTTCAGCCCCAAATACTAGCAGTATTAGCAGTATTTGTGCTAAGGCTCCATTTAGACTGCCAAGTAAGCAACGTGAGAGAAAACTCACCTAAAATTACTAATGACCTCTTATGACATGACATTATAATACTGGTAACCGCATTCACTCCCTTTCAAGTACTCTCTCTCTCTCTTCTACTATTAACATAAATCCAAAAATCCCTCTTTCAAGTACTCTCCCTCCCTCTTCAGCTGTAAACAGGAACCCAAAAATCCCAAATTTTATTTCTTTCTCCCTCTCGAATTTCAACTTATGGTTAGGATTTGCTCGGTGAAAATGGCATCTAAGTATCTGATCACGATTTCGATGTCGTTCATTCCAATGGACGATAGGGGCAAGACGACGGCGGTCGTGAAAAACGGTCCAAACACAAAACTGAAGCAAAATATGCTTCGTTGGTCGCACTTCGTGAGCGATGTGGTGAAATTAATGATGGTCACACGGCTTCCTCAATTAAAACAGTGTAGCACCTCCTATCTGAATTATTGATCGTGTCATCAATCATCATAACATTATCCCCAGACTGGTTATCATTGGGAATCCTATTTGAAATACATGTTGATGTCGGCGCAAATATCTTTAAATTTTGAGTTCAAAGTGGGGGGCAATGCTGCACATTTTTTGAAAATATTCAGATTACAAAATCAATAACAAATAAAAAAATTAAAAAAAGTTAATGCCCACGCTCAACATCCTAACTACAAAAATTAACATCGAACCTACTAGAGTTAACAAATACTCTCTTTAAAAAAAAGGACTTAGTGAACTCCCTCAACTCCGTCAACTCATTCAGCCACTAACTGGGCGGGGTGGGAAGATGGGAGCGTGGGAGGGGGCGGCAGCAGGGTGAGGAGCATTAACCTTGCAGAGTTCTGTCTCGAAAATAGTGATAAGTATGCCAAGCGTAATAATCGCTATTCCAAGGACAATGGTGAGGACAGTCAAGACTGTCTGGTGAATATGAAGAAACTCGAGACCAATCAACACCACAACCGACAAAACGAAAACAAGCTCATTCGCAATAATCATCTTTAGATCTGGGGTTCTTGTTCCCGTCCAAATAGCCACCATTACCGCAGTTGAAAAAACAAAGAAGACATAAAGCATAATCCTTACTGTTTCCAGCCTCAACAGTTCAACCTAAACAAAATGCAATATAATATTATTAGACAAAAAAACTAAACTTAAAACTAATTAAAACAAACGTATTAGGACGTTGGCCCTCACGTCTGCAGGAGGGTTTTGCCTCTTTCCCGGCAAGAATCCGCAAAACTTCAGTATCAAACAAAAAAAATTTAAGGTAATATATATAAACAAAAAATACAGACTGAACAAGCTAACCTTCTTGACGCCCGACAAATAGGACTGCTTGGAGTCATGGTCCCGCAGACGGGACGGCTCGGGTTGGTCTTTGTCACCATCCTTAACTTCGAAGCAGGAGAAAGCGTGGCGTTTGGGATTCTCTCCTGGGAGCACGCGATCTGGGGAGTTCAGGATGCTATCAGAGTCGCTCGAGAGGATTTCTGGTTGGGTCTCAGCACTACCGAGGTATTGCTTGGAATGGTAGATCAGAAAAGCGTGTGGCTGATTTTTTCCGTTTGATTAAAGGAGCGTATAGGCTGGTTTGAGATAGCTTAATGAAGGCGGAGGGTCCGTTTTAATGAATAGTAGGCCCCGGCCTCCACCCTAAAAAAGGCCCTAAAAAACGCAGTCGTTCGTACCCGCACGGCCTTTAACGGTGGCCCGCCGGCAAAGGCTGCGGCAGCGGCGGCGGCGGCGGAGACGTGATGGGCCAATCGTGCCTAAGTACGTTTGTTTTAATTAGTTTTAAGTTTAGTTTTTTTGTCTAATAATATTATATTGCATTTTGTTTAGGTTGAACTGTTAAGGCTGAAAACAGTAAGGATAATGCTTTATGCCTTCTTTGTTTTTTCAACTGCGGTAATGGTGGCCATTTGGACGGGAACAAGAACCCCAGATCTGAAGATGGTTATTGCGAATGGGCTTGTTTTCGTTTTGTCGATTGTGGTGTTGATTGGTCTCGAGTTTCTTCATATTCACCAGACAGTCTTGACTGTCCTCACCATTGTCCCTGGAATAGCGATTATTGTGCTTGGCATACTTATCACTATTTTCGAGGCAGAACTCTGCAAGGTTAATGCTCCTCACCCTGCTGCCGCCCCCTCCCACGCTCCCATCTTCCCACCCCACCCAGTTAGTGGCTGAATGAGTTGACGGAGTTGAGGGAGTTCACTGAGTCCTTTTTTTAAAGAGAGTATTTGGTTATCAATAAAAGAAGAAGGCATGATATGAACTACCATGTATACAAGTGGCATATATAAATAAATTGCCATTTATCTAAAAGAAAAATTATGTGTTTCTGACAGTATTCAGCTGCCAATTTTATCTGACAAAAGAATTCATTTTTGTAACTTATTTCCTTCTCCTTGACCTCGTCAGGCTTGAACACCATCCAGAGATTCAACGTATGCTTGAGTAATAATAGTTAGCACATCTGGGTGACACGCTTTATATCTTTCCACCTTCTTTCTTTCCCGCAGCGTCACCTGCGAACAAGGGGAACTTAGGACAATTGGTACCACCGAATTTGGGCCAGGTGGGCCGAAGCGACCAAGCTTCACGAGCAAACCATCGCTTGTACTAATCTCACCTCCAGTTCCCTCGGCATGGAAACTCCCTTAACGGAACACGACGATACCAATACTTAGTATCTAAACGATGCTTCCACGCTCATCCCACAAATCGAAAACTTCAGACGACGATTACATTATCGAAATAGCACCAAACTGATATTAGAATGCCCCCATAGTACAATCATCGGATTTCGACACCGCACGACTAACCCTATTTAAACCCTTTACCCATAACGCAACAAATGCCATACCAAGCGGAACCTTCCAAGTTTCACAAATTCAATACAATTTGACAATCGGCCCAATCGCAATTCCTCGAGCAGACATCTAGAGAAAACCCTAGAGAGCGTGCGCGTTGTACAAGTAGGGGTGCTCAGTTACAGCCCAAGATCGATCCTTTCATAGGTAAATCTCTCTAACGGAATGCGATTCAAGCTTACGGAAGCAAAATCAATCGAAACGGTCGCCGAGAACTCGAGAAACTGCTGCAAAATTCACCGAGCGAGATTGAAAGAGAGAGAGAGAGAGAGAGAGTACCTGAGGGTTTTGGCGCCGACGGCTTGATTTGAGGGGCGACTGAGGCTGAGATCGGAGCCCTGGGTGGGGGCCTAGGGTTAGGGACGAGGATGGATCCGATGGCGGCGACGGAGGCCATGAGAGAGCGCCAAAAATAGGTTCGGTGAACGGATAGAAAGCTCAGAGGGAGAGGGAGGGGGGAAACAAATCGTCGATAGATGCGAAGCGGGTTATGGTTTGTAAAGTTCAACCCGACCCGACTCGTTATTCAGGGGAGAAGCTAACGGGTTCGGATCTGAAGAACCACATCCGATAATTTATTTATTTTTTAATATTTTAAAAAAGAATTGATCTTTTATTTTTGGGAAAATTGTGTCAGGGCCTCAGAATGAATTAGCCTACGTGGCCAGCGTCTCTGTATTTTAAGCCTTGTGTTTCAGGCTTTCAGCCCCAAATACTGGCAGTATTTGTGCCAATGCCTCATTTAGACCGTCAAGTAAGCAATGTGAGAGAAAGCCCACTTAAAATTACTATTAACCTCTTATGACATGACATTATAATATTGGTAACCATATTCACTCCCTTTCTGGTACCCTCTCCCTCTCTCTCTTTTACTATTAACAGGAATCCAAAAATCCCTCTTTCAAGTACTCTCTCCCTCCCTCTTCAACTGTAAACAAAAGGAGAGTTGACCATAGCTGTGACGATTAAAAATGACAGATATTTGTTTGGTTTGCTACAAAAATAAATTACAGTAAATATTGAATGAAATATTTATTGCAGGAAATCAACTTTGACCTCATTGTTTGGATACATGCAATTATATTGCATTGAGCATTTGGTTGAAAAGCAATTATTACAAAAGGTACGTAGCTTTTCCATATAAAAAACTTGGGTGTAAATAATCTTCTGTTTACATTTAAAAGATTTATTTTCATGAAACGATTTTTTTTTTTTTCCTTTTTTGGAGTTCGCATTTTTTTTTCCTACCAAACAGCCCCTAAGATTGATAGTAAAACGTTATCCGTGCTCTACAGAAAACTACTACCATCCCCTTCCCTGGCTCTCTTTATTCATGCTAATTTCATATATTTTAACATGATCACCAGAGAGATAACCTCGGCCACATTATGTAATTACAAATTTAACAGTAAAAAGTTGTAGGAGGAAGGGGGGAAAGAACGAACAAATTGAGATTTAATCCATCACTTCTTTCCAACTCGAATACAAAAATACCAGTATGAGGTCCTACTATATAATCCAACATCATCAAAACCATGGTTTAACAAAAAGAATTGTGTTTTTTTGTGTACATTTTGCATACATTTCCATCGTTTTTATCCCCCTTCTGTTTACTTCTTGTGAGGCCTCATACGACGCTGAATGCTGACTGCAATGTTGATGAGAAGCGAGAAGCAATGGTCTGGGTAGCAAACTGCTGTATCTGTTTCTTAGCATCTGCACCACACAATAAACAAGAATCAATCAAAAGCACGTAGTTCATTAGTTAGTGCGTGTCTGTGCATGCACTTGTGGGCGCAAGCGTGTGTATGTTGCTGGATTTTTTGCGCCAAACCTAGAAGAATGCAGGATATTCAGAATGGAGGATTTTTCAAAACCATCCGTTTTTGAAATTTATTTTCAAAAAAACGACCTATTTCTACCTTAATTTCAAAAACCAACCCAGTTAGATGAAACTGGGTCGGTTTTTGAAAAAAAATTCCCAAACTTCACGGGAGTTGAACTCCCGTGAAGTTTTTTCTCATAACAAAACTTCACGGGAGTTCAACTCCCGTGAAGTTTGGGAATTTTTTTTTTCAAAAACCGACCCAGTTTCAACCAACTGGGTCGGTTTTTGAAATTAAGGTTGAAATGGGTCGTTTTTTGAAAATAAATTTTAAAAGCGGATGGTTTTGAAAATTTATCCTATTCAGAATAGAAGCAGAATTAGGTGGCATATTTTGAAGCAGTAAAAGAAGGATACTACGTTGAATTGAGAAAGGAGATTTTCCTAGCTCCTAACACAGCTCGATGAAAACATGAAGGTTGAGCAAACAACAGATTAAGATACTTTTAAGACCTCAAACTTTTCAACCTCTATAGTAGGAAAGCATCATCAGCAATATGTCACCAGGAGAAGACATGATTGATAAGAAGAATTTCTCTTGAACATGTTGAATTTTAATTATGAAGAAGAGTAGAGTTGAGAAAAATCAGAATACTTGAAATGTTGAACATACTGATTTCTTAAGAAACGTTCTGTTTTTCCATGTGAACTGTCCATTCACCAGCTAGTTAAGGCTGAGACATGATAATGAAAAACTTGGAATAGCGATTCAGAATGTATTTTGTGGTCTGGAGCAATTTGGACGCTAATATCAATTGAATCTCTGTTCCACAGGTTGGTTGGTGTACTTCCAATTCCTAGGTGCATGCTATGATGCTTTGCTAGTTCCATAAGTGATTACCGTTGGTTACTTTCCAATGCTAATATGTAATTACCATACCCAGTCAATTCCAAGAATTCGAGACCATGTGTAGCAAATTTGTGTTCATGAATTCTCAAGCCAAAAAAAAGGAGCAGGGCCTAGGATTCCCCATGCGACTGTAGTTTCAAGTTCATTAAGATGCAAACTATATGCAACTAAATTGAAGGGGTTTGGGAAGTTATTTGCCACAAATATCTTTCTTTAAATGAAGTGGGTAATAGACAAACAATAACCAATTAGATTTTACTATCATTCTTGCAGAGAATGTAAAAGATCATGGACTTAAAAGTAGTAGATTGCTCCGAAGATAATAAACTATAAACTATCAACATAGATTTGGCACATGGGGCCAAGATATGAAGAAAAATATTACTACCCGAAGTGCAAGTGAACTTTTTAATGAGGAAAGAACAAGTGAACGAACATGAAAACCATGCCTTGATCATAAAGTTGAAGAATGATATTTATGTGTTTGCACATGTCCAGTTAAAGGAGAAGTAGAATAGCTAAAGATAACATTGATGACTAGAGTTATATATCATTATGTGTTTGCACACGTACAAGTTCGGCACACAGGACAAGCCTTAAACAGCTTACCCTTAAGCTGCTTTACTAACAGTCTATCATCATGTAAAATACTCTTGAAATAATAGTACTTCCCATGCTTAAATTTAGAACCCTATTGATATTACTAAACGATAATCCTATAACATGAATGTAGATGGCAGAAACTTCAGAAAGAATTTTCAGAAATTGTAGAAAGCAAACACTTACCTTTGCGGCATTTAGTAAAACCAATAATATTCGCAATGCTAAGTGTCAAGCAAACTCCAACGACTAGAAGATAATCAGCTTGAAACCTTATAAGTGAAAATATTCCAAGGAAAATCCACGCAACAGCCTGCGTAAGGAAAAAAAGACTCATGTAACCACACACCAACATTCATAGTGACAATAACACCACTGGAGGTCTCATAGTTAACGTGTACATATTTATTGCTCCAGAAAAGTTATGGGTTACACTGATAAAGAATATGTATCCACATTGAGGTCAGAGAAGTAGTTTAAACCCCATTAACATGTTACATGTTTGTCTGTCGTGGAAAACCCAAGTCCTTGATGCAAAGCCCTGGTCGAGTTATGAAGAACCCAAGTCCATCATAACACCAGACACCATTCTCAATACTTGTGTTAAAATGGCTAAATTCTTTGACACCAATGAACCTGAACTTGAACCAGACTTATTTTTAATAGCTTATAAGCTAGGTTAGTTTTTTATGGCTTTTGGCTTTTATAAAAAAAATTAATAAAAATTGTATGGGTTGTAAAGTCATTTACTTGGTCAAACATACCTTATTTAGGTGGCTTATAAGTTAGTTTTTCATAAGTTGGGGAATCCCAGCTTTTTCAAATGGAACTTAGCTAGCTTATTTGTGATGTTACCAAATGGTTAGATATGAATAAACTAGATTATAAGCTACTTTGACCAAAAAATAAGCTCTCCCAAACACCCTCATACTAAAGGGACAGATTAGGGGCTGTCTACTTCCATGTTAGAAACTAACTAACGTCTGACTAATCCTTAAGTGGTTACATGACATTAACACATTCTTACTTATATTTTCTGTTGCCCTTTCTTTGTTTCAATGTCTATGCTTTTTTAACTCACCTCTCCATATAAAAAGATAAGGGCTAGTCATATGTCAAGTATTAGTCCATGAAAAATTAAATGTTGGCTCTTCGTTAGTGTGTGTAATGCAAATAAATGAAAAGAAATATACAAAATCGTGCATGTATGCCCTATCACATGCACAAATGAATGAGAATTAACAACTTAAACAACATTTGAAATGTCCTTAAGCCCACACGTATGTCTAATGGGGTTAAATTAACACTTTCGATATTGTCAGATGTGACCATGTATATCAATATTGGTTTGAGCCAGTAGCCCACAAGAAAATACATGGAAAAGACGAACCATTTACAAAAGCAATTGCAATTGAAAGGGTCTATGGTGTTCCACCCTAGATTAGACTTCAATATGCACTAACATCCAGTTTACATTCCCGAGTTACTTACCGTGAGATAGATTGTCCACCAAAAAAGCCATGAATCTTTCTTGTTCATCCTAGCAAGAGACTGACAACAGCAAGTTTCAAAAACACATAAGACACATGGAAAATCACAATAAAAAAAGAAATACGGAGTAGAAAGAACATCAAGAACCTCTTGGTCAAGGCACTCAAACTTCCACACGCTCTCTCCTTGCTCATTAATCTCATTCCACCACCTCAACCCAACCAATATCCGTCCGCTTACATTCTTAACAACCCAGAAATCAAGCGCAGCGAGAAGGACCGTAACCACGAAGATGATCACAAAGCTATTAAAGAATAGCGCAGACAAGATGTAAAATGCCAATGCTGCAGCCTGCCAATTTCACATGCAGACATACTTAATTTTTCCATAAATTCAAAAAAAATAAAAATAAGAAACAAAGCAAATAAATGTAGAGAAATTACCTTAAAGAGGACATGAAAGAAGCAAGTCCTTGGATTTGCATAGTTCTCCACCGGAGGCTGCATGCACAATTTTTTTCCGGAGATTATATCACGACTCGATCTAAATTCATTCAGAATTATCTAAGTTTTCGCAGATCAGACGAGATCTGGGCAGCGAAGTATTAGATCTCGATCAAACGCAATTACAACCGAAATTAAACAAAATCGTGAAAATAAAAGGCGGCAGCTTTGACCCCGTGCTTTGAGATCCAGGTTTAGATCAAATCGTTGCGATTTCATGAAAATTTTAAGAATCGGTAGCTACGGATCTGATGATTTTGCATGTAATAAACAACGGATAACCAAGCAAAATTCGTCGTAAATTGATGGAAGGCAAGGAACGCGAGAGGAATTGGTAGTACCTGGATCCGATCCATTGGATTCGAGATGAGGAGACTCTAGGGTTTGCTGCTAGCTTTCGATTTGAGATTTCGCGAGCTCAACGCATCTCTTTTGTGAGCGAGCGAGCGAGCGAGAGAGAGAGAGAGTCTACGGAGATTGAGAGAATGAGGCTGAGTTATGCATTTATTTACGATTGAGCCATGCACCCTGCGGGTCCCAGCTTCAACATGAACCGAGCCGCTTTTGGTTTGGTTTTCACCTTTTTCTTGTCGGGTTTTTTGGGCATGATAAACTCGGCACTTTAACACACACAAGATTGGTAAAAGAACAAATTTTTAAAACAGTCCAATTTAGAGTATTATTTTTCAAAATCGACCGGTTTTTTATTTATTTATCAAAACCGACCCGCTTTTATGATTAACCGGCTAATCACCTTCCTAAATAGTCGGGGTTGGCAACCCCGACTATTTAGGACCTTAATTTTTTGTGTTTAAGGTATCTAATCAGGGTTTAATACCCTTCTAAATAGTCGGGGTTGCCAACCCCGACTATTTAGGATGGTGATTAGGCTGTTAATCACAAAATCGGGTCGGTTTTGGTAAATAAAAAAAACCGGTCGATTTTAAAAAATAAAACTCTAAAGGGGTCTGTTTTAAAAAATTGTTCTTGGTAAAATATCTGTACTAATAATTCATGTGAGGATTTTATCTAAGTTGCCTAATAGGTTCTGAGCATGTGAATTTTTAAACGAAAGGTCACAGATTGTGAACAAACGACTTCATTAATAGAAGGTTAAGGATCATATTAAACATGATCAGATGGTTTGATGCTAATTCGGTTTGTTCTCAGCCTGAGGACATCGTTTTCCTCTTTTATGTTACCAAGATATCGGGTCCCTTCCAACGAACACACAAAAGTGGTTGGACGACGCATGTAA